TGTTAACTCACGGGCAGCTGGCTCATCAAGGAACCACAGCAGCTTTCCATGTACAGGTAAGACACGTGCAGCCGGTAAGGGTTCAGGCTCTTCTTCCTGGAGGATAAGCTGCAAGCCTGTTGAACGAGGTGACCTTGCTCGGGTCCCAGGTGTACGGTTCCTAAAATGGCTGCCATATACCCGTCCACTGATAGGAGACGCGGAAGGTATTAAACTGATCAGAACAATACTAAACACACTACTCCTATCTGGTGTCGCATTAACGACGGCGCGGTGCCCCCAAATTTATCTTGATCTGCGGTAGGTAAGCGGTTGTCCGCCTGATGGGTTGCAGCTTTTTGAGGGCCCACACCACACTTCGTACACTCCTTTTCAATGGCGGTGAATATACTTAAGCTGTGCAAAGAGTTTACGGTAGATAAAATCAATGCCGTGTACACGTCCACTGATAGGAGACGCGGAAGGTATTAAACTGATCAGAACAATACTAAACACACCACTCCTTTTTTTTGGTGAGGCTTTACAGGACAGAGTGCTTCTCCACGGGACATGTTAACTCACGGGCGGCTGGCTCATCAAGGAACCACAGCAGCTTTCCATGTACAGGTAAGACACGTGCAGCCGGTAAGGGTTCAGGCTCTTCTTCCTGGAGGATACGCTGCAAACCTGTTGAACGAGGTGACCTTGCTCGGGTCCCAGGTGTACGGTTCCTAAAATGGCTGCCATATACACGTCCACTGATAGGAGACGCGGAAGGTATTAAACTGATCAGAACAATACTAAACACACCACAAATAAGGTTTCTCTCCTGTATGGCTCCTCAAATGATGCTTAAGATTAGAAGCGGCTGAAAAGCATTTCTCACACTCCGAACAAAAATATATTTTTAACATTCTCTCCACTTTGAACGAAATGACGTTTGGGAAGAGATTAACATAATTAAACACAGGCAGTAAAAATACAGTTTTTAGCCATACCCTGTAACTTTAAAACTACACATCCCATCTTCATAATTACATATTTGGAATCAGCACACTTAAAACATAAGCATAACCAAAAATCAGCCAAATCCATCCAGGGGTTAAAAAGTTAGCTGGAGGTCCCTTTATGACCGACTGCAAGCACATTTTCCTGCCCAAAACAGTTCATAGATTTGGGCTGTGAGGTCGGTCTATTTCAGGCTGAAAAAACGACTAAGTCCCATCGCGAATGGGACTTAGTCTCGTGAAATAAGGCTGAAAAAAGACTAAGTCCCATGGCGAATGGGACAGTCTCTACATGGTAGGCGGAAGCGGCTGAAAAAGGCTAAGTCCCATCGCCGAATGGGACTTAGTCTCTGCAGCTGAAATAAGGCTGAAAAACACGGCTGAAAAAAAGACTAAGTCCCATCGCTGAATGGGACTTAGTCTCTGCAGCTGAAATAATTTCCCATTTACTGAACCAAGTGGGAAATAGCAAGGCAGGCACAAAGGTTTTGCACCAGGTCTGGGGACACAGGGGACACCGTCTTAAAGGGGCAGTGTCCCAACAAGTCAGGGACCACGGCCTTAAAGGCAGTGTCCCAATCGCCTCTGATGTCCCAAAAAGGTGTTTAAAGGGCCCTTTTCAGTCATAAAGAGTCCATAAGCCCCAATATGCCCACCCGACAGTCTTAAAGGGCCATACACACCAAATAAAAGTGCATACATTTTCACAATCTCCCAGGGCCATAGTCATCTTGGAGGAGGCTGTAGTAAACTACTCCACAACCCAGGAAGCAGGGCAATTTGCCATTTAAAGGGCCCGTTACAAATAGCAGTTTGTAACAGGTGTCAATCCATATCTGCCAAGTGACCCGATGTAGGGGACCAGTCCCTATTCTGCTCTGTGTCAGTGTGTATCAGGGAACCTTAGGACAGGTGTCAATCCATATCTGCCAAGTGACCCCATGTAGGGGTAACAGTCTCTATTCTGCTCTGTGTCAGTGTGTATCATGGTCTCTGAGGACAGGTGTCAATCCATATCTGCCAAGTGACCCTATGTAGGGGGGACCAGTCTCTATTCTGCTCTGTGTCCGTGTGCATCAGGGGCTCTGAGGACAGGTGTCAATCCATATGTCAAGGTGTCAATATGTCATATGTCAGGTGTCAATCCATATTGATTGTGATTTAGGAATGTTGGGTGATTTCTGCCCTTTATGGATTAAAACCAGACTCTGTATCAACTGTGTAATTTTCCATGGGAGTTTTGCCATGGATCCCCCTCCGACATGCCACAGTCCAGGTGTTAGTCCCCTTGAAACAACTTTTCCATCCCTATTGTGGCCAGAAAGAGTCCCTGTGTGTTTTAAAATTCGCCTCCCCATTGAAGTCAATGGCGTTTCGGGCGGTTCGCCGGTTCGCGAACATTTGCGGAAGTTCGCGTTCGCCGTTCGCGAACCGAAAATTTCGGGTTCGTGACATCACTACTTGTAGACTTCATTACTGTGATATTTTACCCAAAAGGTATCAAAACGTTCAAGTTTATTTGCCTAATATAAGAGAGGCAATCGTGTAACACATTAATCACATTAATAAATCTAAAACCCCGCCAACTTGGCTTCTTACTTGAATGTGTATAAGGCACTTTTATAAGTCACACCCGACATGGCTTATCCAATAATATTCAACAAATAACAACACCAAAATCAAGCTGACATGCTAATACTTATTACTTGATTACCAGCTTTGCTGACCGACCGGGGGTATTCCTGCTACCTTATTCAAAAGTCTAAATACTAAATACTCATAATTGTTTTAGCATTCCATTCTTTCCAAACCTCCCTACTAAAATCGTATGAGGATATGGATTTTCTAGCTGCTACTTCATACCTGCCTACTTGTGAAATATAATTTGTGAGTTCTAACATCACATAGTTACATAGTTACATAGCTGAAAAGAGACTTGCTTCCATCAAGTTCAGACTTCCTCACATATGTTTTTGCGATTGATCCAAAATAAGGAAATAAACCCAGTCTGAAGCACTTCCAATTTTGCATCAAACAATGAAAAATCCCTTCTTGAACCCAAAATGGCAGTCAGATATCTCTTTGAATCAAGCAGCTATTACCCCGCTAATTAGAAATTATATCCCTGTATGTTATGTTTTTCGAAATATTTATATAATTGCTGTTTAAACATCTCTATGGACTCTGATAAAACCCACCTCTTCAGGCAGAGAATTCCATATCCTTATTGTAAAAAAAAACCTTTTCCTTAGATGAAATCTCCTTTCTTCCAGCCTAAATGTGTGACATTGTGTCCTATGTATAACCCCGTTTATGAATAGATTTCCAGCTAATGGTTTGTACCAGCCTGAATATATTTGTAGAATGTTATCATATCCCCTCTGAGGCGCCGTTTTTCCAAACTAAAGTTATTTACATTTTTTGACTATAGAAAGGGTTTTAGTTTTCAACCAATTTTTAGCTATTAATGATAAGGCAGCTATGAGAATGTGGAACATCAAATATCTAATAGGTTTAGAATACTGCTCTTTAAAAAATACTGGTCGACATAGGCTTTTTGACAGGAATCGATTGTACACAGAATTTCTCGAAGTCGGTCAGTTGATGCTCGTTTACAGAAATTAAATCTATCACAAGATATGCATGAGTATTGCACCAAGATCTAATCTGCAAACATAAAAAAAGTGCTGCGCTCGGCAGTGTATATAATCGTTCCAATTGTGAAGATGTTAATATTTTACCTTCATAATAAAACATATGTGAATACAAGATCCCACAACGGTTCCATAACCTATAATCAAAATCCGGTATTAGAACCCATAGTGCCCTGATAGGTGTAACTAGAGAGATAGGGGGGCAACTGCACAAAGCATGCTATTGTAGTAGGTAATGTATTAATAAACTGTGGTCTGTGTAATGGTGTCAGCCACATTATATCTGAATTGTGCATTCCAAGTGTGTAATGTTTTTCAATTGTCACCCACTGCGGTAGATGTTGTTGTTGAGGGGCAGACACTAAACTATTCAAGAGTGCCGCTTTATAATGCAAATGGATGTTTGTAAGGCTCCTACCGCCTTTTTCAATGGGCAAATATAGTGTAGTCAGTGCAATCCTAGACCTTTTGCCTTACCAAACAAAGGAGTTTATATTTTGTTGAATTAAGTGAAAATAAGATTGTGGAATAATAATGGGAACTGTTCAAAATAAATATTGCAATTTCTGTACTATGATCATTTTGACCGTGCCTATTCATCCAGACAAAGATATAAATGTTTTATGCCAATTATGTAATATGGTATTTCTTTACTAAGTTTCACATAGTTTTTGGTAAGGAAGCTGTACTCCCCATAAAGTCAGGTGGTCAGTTCTCCATTCATATTTATATTGATTTTGATTTTTAACAAAGTTAAATTTAACTTTGTTAAAAAAGTGAACTTTAAAGCAACCGTTTAGTAGATAGCTCCCTAATGGTACCTTTATGTGGGATTACCATTTTAAGGATACCAAAATTAGAAAGCTATCTGCCAAACAGTTGAAAGTTCAAAATTAAGGGGAAAATAGCCCTTTTCCTAATTTTGATGTTTTGGTTGACTAATAGAGAAGTTCCCAATTTGCTATGCATATGAAAATAAATGGATACCAATACTTGTGAATTTCAAAATTCATCCAAATTTAGATGAAATGTGTTTGCTGAATGAAACAAATACAAATGTGTAGTGCAGGGGTGCCAAAATGGTAGATCCCAGACGGTGTAGAACTACAACTCACATGATAATTTGCATGCCTTTATAACAGCATAAAGAAAGCTGCAGTTTTAATCTGGGGATCTACCGTTTGGGCACCCCTGGTCTAGTGGGAGTGGGTGACTGAATGGGGTGTCACTTTTAATTATAGAACTAAATGTATTTATTCTGATTAGAACACCTTTTTATAAAGAGTACACTTGTAAAAAATATTGTCCACGCTTTACTAATTTGCTTTGGTATGTATTTATTTTTCATTTAGTTTTCTATATTTTCTTTTAACATTTCCTTAAAAAAATACAACATTAATTTGAAATGTTTTTTATTGCAACCCTTTTGCAGACAACCCAATAAAATCAGCTGTGATTGAGGAAGTCATTCCTTTTGTTGAAGGAGGAACTGTAATTCAAGCAACAGCCCTGAATGAAAAGCTGTCTAAGACTTATAAAGATATGGATGTGGACGACTATGTAAAATGGGCTGGAACTATAGTAGATGCACCAGTCATTATAAAATCCAAGGTACAATTTTAAATATTTTTTGCACATCCCAAGAAAATACAGACCATAGATATGATAGTCAGGTTCAATAAAAATTATTTTCTGATTATCTATGAAATATTGCAAGATAAAAACTTTTCATACTCCAATAGTTTCTATACAGGATAAACAAAAGAGTGAAAAATAAACAAAATTGCTTTTTACCAAAAGATAAATGTAAATTTTTTTATACTAATAATAATTATTGATTTCTGTAGCCGAGCACTAGTTTAACATAGGTTTTCCTCTGCTGGTATTCCAACAGCTACTCAGGAACAAGCAGGATATTATAAGAAGCACAGCATAAGTAGTAAATAAATCCACAAATCTCCCATCGCCCTTCCCAATAACTGGACGACACTCAGTATCAGATGCAGAACAAATTTTTAATGCCACGCACTATGCTTTTATGCAATTCTCCCATGCAAGGGAGACACCCACAGAAAATTAGGAATTATCCAATCACTAGCTGGTTACAGTACACATATTCCCTCCCCTCAACCTGAGAGATAACTTAATTATCTGTACATTTTAAACACACATTTTTCCCCAATTCTTAGATGTACCCCAAAACTATAACCTACACGCATAATTCACATATCCCCTGATATCCCCGATCTGGGTGAGCAACATACTGAAAAATCACCCACAGGGGTTCATGAATTTCCTGGAGGTCTTAGTTTTACCGACTGCACACGAGGTGTATGCCCAAAATAGTTCCACATGAAAGGGCTGTGCGGTCTGTCTTTGTTTTGACTAGCCAAAACATGCAAAATCCCAGGGTTAAGGCATTCGTGACTTAGTTCGGCATAATCCCCTTGTTCGTATACCGATTCTCAGAAACTACCATTTCGTTTGGTTGGATTTTCACAAACTTCCATGAGGTTGGATGTTTTAATGGTGTTCGTGCCTTCGAGTGTCCGATTTGGGTTCCAGACACTCGACGACCAAACACCGCTGGTGTCATTCGTATGCCAAGATGGCCGCCGCCACATGTTCGTCTATACGAATGACGGCCACCCTGAAGTTTACACAGGGGTTCGGGCATTTGCAGTTAAGTAGGTATGCTGAAGGTTAACGGGGTCAATTGGTGCCACACTCCACTCCTGGGTGGCCGGGTTGTTAGGTACTTTGTTTGTTTTGACGAACCATATAGGTGAATCCAATATAACTGATGTTAATACCGAACAAAAAAACGAAATAACATAGGAACACAGTGTTACATTAGAGCGATACAAGTTAACAGAATAAACATACACACACAGTGGTATGGACAGCCTCTAGTACCAAAACGGGATACGGACCTATAGCCCATTTTACTACACTTTCCATGTATAAATATTTTTTTAATGCAGTATGTAATTGCCCTGATACTTATTAGATTAATCATGTTGTCTGAATTTTCATAATGCATTTACTGTTAGGAATGGGTATACATTGTACCACTGTTTTTTATTTTGTTTGCTCACTATGATTTTTATGTTACCAGACATCTCCAATTTACACTCTAATTCCACCTGATCTGAAAGATGCCTACACAAAGTCAAAGAACTTGGAACGAGCAATTGAAGATTACCTTGAGGAAAACAGTGTGTGCAAATGCCAGCCTTGTCAAAATGGTGGCACAGTAATTGTGTTAGATGGCGAATGTGTTTGTAAATGCCAAAGACATTATACTGGAGTGGCATGCCAGACACCAAAATCTGATATTTTACCTAGTAAGTAATTTGCAACCATTTTATTGTATATTAATGTGTACAGGTTGTATGTTTATTTATACATAGCACACAGATGGTACTCCCTGCCCACTCCCAATATAACAATTGATGCACTGCACTGCCTTTTTGACACAAAACTCTGAGATTCTTTTCACTCCAAACTGCAATTTGGGCGGACTCACGCTGATTGGGTGATCAGCAGAGCATGGGCAAGGATTTCTGGCTACACAGGCACAGATGCATTTTGCTGCCACCCCCAACCACCAAAAAAATGTTCCTTTGTGTTTCTTATTCCCTTTTTTGAATGTTGACCCCCTTTAGTGTACCATATGCCACATTTTTCTCCTTTGTGTGTTTTACACTCCCTTGTGTGTTACTTTTACACCCCCTTGTGTGTCTCTTACTGGCTTTTAGCCACTCTGTGTGTCTCTTACTCTCATCAGCCCTTTTGTGTGTCTCATGCTTACTCCCAGTCACTTTGTGTGTCTTTTACTCCCCCTGACACAATTGTATGTCTCTTTCTCCCCTAAATTCCTTCGTGTGTCTTTTTCTCCCCTTATCCCCTTTGTATGTCTCTTTCTCTCCACAGCCTCTTCGTGTGTTCCTTTCTCATCCCCAGCCATTTTATATGTCTCTTTCTCCCCCCACGTACCATATATGTCTATTTCTCTCTGACCCCACATCCCTTTGTAGATTCTTCCTCAGCTTACATCTAATTTGTAGCGTGGCCATGTGGACTGATGTAGAGGGTCTTCTGTATTCTCTACCCGGTCTGACAGGAAGCTGTTTGTTGCTCATAACGAGCAGCTTCCTATTAAAATAGACAGAGGATACAGAAGATCTCTTGCTAGGGTCTGCACAGTCATACTACATGAAGTGATTGGCAGGAGGGGGAGTACTGTGTATTCTTCTCCTGAGTGTCACCCGGAAGTTGCGGCTCCCGGGCCAGTGCACCTTAAGGGAGTTGCATGTGTAGCTTTATGGTTACGCTAGCACTGGTGATCAGGGGTTCAGATTTCAGAGCCACAACATTATTATTATTATTTTATTATTTATATAGCGCCAGCAAAGTCCATAGCTGCCAATTGGCTGCCAGAACATTGGGGAAACCAATTCACCCAGTAGTGTGTAGTGTAGTGTGACTAAATGGTGTTTTACCATCAGCTGCTACCAACTGTGTCCACAGAGGTAGGAGGGGCTGTAAGCAAAGCTGGGAGAAACCACTACACTGAAAGGCATTTGAAAAAATGGGGATCAGCTGCAGTATGAGTAATTTAATTTGATAACGTCTTTAAAAAAAAAATTAAAAAAAAAAATGAATGGGCAATTGATAACCCAGTCATCAGTTCAACTTTTCTATTTTTTTTAAAAAATCCCCCTTTTTTTCAATTAAATGACTTTTGCTTTTGCTTTAAAAAATAAATTTAAAAAATGGAGGGGCTGTCTCTGAAGCTTAAAACAGGAAAGTTTTGTTCCTGTCAGGATGGAAGGGGTTACAGGGTGGTCAATTGCTTTTGACTTTTTTTTCTTTAATGTTTGGATAAATCACTTATTTTCACCTTAAAATGTCCTCTGTTTTTAATTTTTCATTAATACAAGATAGCAAAATGAAAAAGATTAAACCCTATCATTAAAAAAACGTGCATGAATTGTTTGTCAGCACAGTTGTAGACAGCATTTTTCCTGCTGTTCTGGCTGTTCAAATAGCTTTCCATTTTTTTTTGAGGTACTGAAATTTGTCAGAGCAAATTTTTTAGACCCACAGTTTATGGGGGTTTTTTGAGTTCCAGAAGAATCAAAATGGTCCAGGCATGGATACAAAAGTAATCCACCACAGGCCAACAAATGTACCAACTTCTAGATGTGTCTTTTGACCTCCTGTAAAAGTACAACCATCTATATTTTTATTTCAGAGCAACCTGGTGGACGATATAAAAAGATTAAAAGCTCACACAAATGTTTGTTGTTGGAATGATATTTTTATTTAGAGTTTGTGTTGGTAAGATAGTCACATCTACACTAGATGAATACAGATCCAAATTCACACTAAAATGAAATAAAACTTTCATTTATTTACTCTTTATCAGTTCACATGCAAAAACGGTTGTGTTTCATGGAATATTTCACTGTAGTCCTTTTTTTTTTGTGAAATGCAATAATTTGTTTCCACAGATTCAAAACCTCAGGTGGATGGGAGATGGAGTTGTTGGTCTCCTTCATCTTGCAAAAATGGAGAAATAACTCTAACACGTCAATGCAATAACCCTGCTGCGCAAAATGGGGGTCAATCATGCCATGGAGAAAACAGAAAATCCGTGCCATGTTGATTAACATGAATTTCTCTCTATAAGCAAGCTTCAAGGGACAGAGCACTAAGTATGTGACTAAGAACATAAAATATTGCAAGGATTAATAAAATGAACAGCAAAATAATTGACTACATCTTGTCAATAAACTTAAAATCTTAAATTGCAACCCCTCCGAATAAAAGAAAATAAATGAAATATTGTTTTTGACTTGTGAAATAAAGACCATATCTGCGACAATTAGTGATGAAGACAGAAATAATCCATATCTGGGACAATTAGTGGTGAAGACAGAGCAAGCATTCTCTCATTGACCATATTATGTATATTATGAGGCGCTCATAAGGTAGCAGATGCTTCTTGGTAACACAATCATTGAACATGGCTTGCCTTAGTTACGTTCCTAAAATTGAACACATTTGGTATTTTTTTTTTTTCATTCTGTATCCAGAATAGGTTAAGTAAGACTTATCTTATGTAGGTACTTGCATTCCACCATGGAAGGGACATTTTAAAAGGAAAAAAAAACACAACACATTTATTAAACAATTGAGTCGATATACCCCCAATGAAAACGTGCATGCATTAAATTATCCATTTTTTAATTGGTGTTATATCTAAAGACAGCTTGTAAAAAATGTAGATCTCTTTTCTGGAGTCTTTGTAAGCCCTTCTATCTCCGCCCAGACTTTCTGTGGTTGTCCAATCGCAGACTTCCCAATGCGGAAATCTATGATGTCTGTCATTAATGGAGCAAGTTTATAGCCACCAGTGGGATAGCGTGGGGCAGGGGGCACAGGCGTGGTTGTCCAGGGCTCAAAATTCTTAGGGACAAACTTTCAAAAGAAAAAAAAAGAAAGTAGTAATAATGCACTTTTAAAAATATGGCAGCCTTCTTTTCACACAGAAAATCTCCCAATGCTCAAACATTCTACACAGTTTTTCAACATGACAGGGCAAATCATTTTGAAATCCATCTGTATTATGAAATGTGTATTACTTTAGGCATTAGATAGATGTTAAAAATTACGCAAAGTAACTATCAGCATCACACGCATCATGGAGACGAGGCAGGAAAGGAGCAGCGAGGCTATCTTGGCACCCGTTAAGGGACTCAGGGGAGTGCTAACTGTCCACTGGTTAGGGGGCGCAATACTTGCCTGCCCCCTGGCTACCCACGCTACACCACTGATAGCCACAATAATTTTCAAAAATCACTGCAATTCTAAATAGGTGTGCACACAGAGAGAACTAATGTTTTAATTGTTAGGAATTGAAAGTGAATGCAAGGTAATTTTTACATTTTAGGCCAAAATAATCAAAGTGAAACACCTGATTTGGAGAATTTTTACATTTCACACTTTATTGAATAACCTAGAGCAACATTGTAACAGAAATATACCATTCACTAAATCCTATTTTCTATCTATCTATCTATCTAGTCCCAAGAACTGAGCACACAGTTTAGTTAATCCGTGTTTACAATGGTGCAGCAAGTAGCCGTAGTTATACCAAACAAGGAGAAGCGCATTTTGGGGAATTTTTAATCAAACTCGTCACTGCTTTATTAACGCCAAAAGCAGATAATCACAATGTATCAACCTTTTAGTCTCAACAGAAAACCGCTGTTGAAACTGAAACATTAATGCATTGTTATTATCTGCTTTTGGAGTTTTTAAAGGAACACTACAGTGTCATGAACACAAACATGTATTCTTGACCCTATAGTGTTAAAATCACTATCTAGCTCCCCTGGCCCCTTCCCCCACATTAAATTTAGTAAATTCTTACCTTTATTCCAGTCTGCTGGTGCTGGCTCAGCGCCTGATGTGCCTCCTTGACTGACATCATAAGTGGTGATCTGAGCCAATCACAATGCTTTTACATAGGAAAGCCTTGGATTGGCTCTGATTGCCAAGGAGGTGGAGCAGGGGGTGGGGCCAAATGCCACCCTGGCCATTCAGCATCTCCTCATAGAGATGCATTGAATCAATGCATCTCTTTGAAGAAAGTTCAATGTCTACATGCACAGTGTGCAGCACTGCCCCAGAAAGCACCTCTAGTAGCCATCTGAGGATTGGCCAGTAGAGGTTTCCCTAGGCTGTATTGTAAACATTGCATTTTCTCTGAAAAAACAAAACTCGTTTACTGCAAAAATTCTTGCAGTGACTATATTCACAGGAACAATTACAGTAAGCCGTAGTTGTTCTGGTGACTATAATGTCCCTTTAAACATTCCAGAGAGTGCATTTCCTATTTGTTTTGCTAAAGAAATCCCAATTAATTTATAGTAAACACAGCTACAATATAGTACAGTTTTGAGAAGTATTGTGTTCTTCAAAAACTTAAACAATGAATAATATTTGCACATTGTCTCTTGGGATTTTCTGATAAATTCCCATTTTTTTCTGAAATCATGATCTATTAATCCTAATCTATTAGTGAACCTGTGGTTATCTGACAATGATAGGCAAGGAGGTCATAGCTTTAAGTCTTTGTGTTTTATATGATAAGTAAACACAGTACAACTTTACTGCAATCAGAGGTATACCCAGGGTCTCTAGCGCCCTTGGCAAGAACCTGTATCGGCGCCCCTCTTCCCAGCCCCCAGTCATGTTCCACATAGCATGACTCCTATATACGTGCTCCACAATATAAAGGGAAGCTAAAGAAACAGACCTAGCATTGTAATTTGTTTCCTAATCCTCCCTGTCCCATAAAAAATTAATAAATAGGAATTGAGGTTTCTATGGTTTCTTAGGAACAGATTCCTGCCAGTCACCCAAAGCCCTCCACACTATTTGGAATCAATGCAAGGAGAACTCCTACAAACCCTCCCACCTGCTAGTGTACATATACAATAAGCCAATGATAATCTGTTATCAGCCTCAAATCATAACTACACACACATATTTATACTTGCATGATGATGCTGTTGTGCCAGAGGAATGCTTGTCACCATATTGCAAGCATAGTACAGGCACATCACACCTTATCACACGCATAACACAGGTACATCACACCTTATCACAAGCATAACACAGGTACATCACACCTTATCACAAGCATAACACAGGTACATCACACCTTATCACAAGCATAACACAAAGGTAAAGCACACCCTTTTGCAAGCACATTTGAAGCGTGTATTATTTATAGATAAGACTGATTTATAACCCTGCACAGGGCAATATATACACCTAGTGTGCACACAAGATTATATCTCACATACTGTCCGGATTTATACCACATGCAAAGGGAAATATATAGGCCACAGTATGTACACAAGGTTATATGAATTTCCCTGTGCAGGGATATATATCAGGGCAGTGTGTAAAACATAACCATGTGTAAATATTGGGGTCATATTTTCACTTACACCACCGTGGAGATTGCACTCACAGGACTTGCCCTAGCATGGAGACTGCACTCACAGGACGTGTCCCAGCACCCACCCCAGCATTTAGAGTGCACTCACAGAACATGCCCTAGCACCCAGGATGTACCCTAGCATGGAGACTGCACTCACAGGACTTGCCCCAGGACTTCTAACAGCCTCCTGCATGCAGGAGGGAAAAGATGCCAGATATGAGATCTCTGGTGGCAACATCACATTATCCATGAGAGTGCTCTTCAATACTCTTGCGGCCGCATCTGCATCCGACCACGGCTAGACTCTTAATGTGGCCATGGCAGAACTCTTAAAGGATGCATCCCAAAGCAGTCCCAGGACAGTGCAGCCCTTCACCATATTACAAACAGGAGTCTTTACTGGTGTCACTATGTTTTTTTTTCTAATTAACAGATACCATGGTTGTGAACGATAACCTCTGAGTGTAATGGCTACAGTTTGTGTGTGATATATTTAGCTGTCTGAGTGAAATGGGGATTGCACATGATTTATTGGGTTGTCTGTGTGTGAGAGGAATAGTTTGTGAGTAATGGTATTGAGCTGTGCACGTGTGATGGAAACTGTGTGTTAGCATTGGGCTGGATGTGTGTGATGAGAACGTGTGTACTCATTTCGTGCTGTCAATATGGGCTGTTTGAAGGCGCGCGTGGCTCTTGCCGCGCATGCGCATTCGGAGCTGAGAGGTGGATCGGGGCGGAGAGTTCCCCAGTGCCAAGGGAGCCCGGCGTCGGAGAAAGGTAAGTGCTGAAGGGGTTATAACCACACACACACTCTCACGAACAGACACATACACACTAGCTAACAGAAACACACATTTACTGGCAGACACACACTCAGTGACAGACATACATACACAATCACTGACAGACAGACATACACACTCACTTACAAAACATACACTCTCACTGACAAAAACACACTCACTAACAGACACCAAACAGACTCACTAACAGACACACACTAACAGACACACACAAACTAACACGCTCAGTAACAGACACACACAGTAACACACTCACTGACACACACACTAACACACACACTGACCCTCACTAGCAGACACACACTCAATAACAGACACACACAAACTAACACACACAGTAACACACACACACACACACAAAACTAACACTCACTGACACACTAGAAGAAACACTCAATAACAGACACACACAAACACACAACTAACACACTCAGTAACAGACACACACACACAGTAACACACACACTGACACACATATACACACACACTCATATTTTTTTTTTTTAATCCCCCAGCCTCCCTACCTTTGGGAGTGCTGAGGGGATACACTGGGGTCCAGTGGGGCTGCCCGCTGGCCAGTCCTGCAGGCGGCAAGGGAGCACTGATCCTCCTGTTCAGCTCCCTCGCGCGCTGCTTACTGATGCCGGTGTCAGGATACTGACAGGGATCCAATACGCAGAGTGCGGACAGAAGGAGGTACGTATACCAGACCTTAGAATGGCCGGACTAACGTATGGACAAAACAAGAATAGTCAAAAGGTAAGCCGAGGTCGAGGGAGCCGGAGGACAGGTAAGCGAGATACAAGCCGAGTCAAAGGAGAGGAGAGGACAACAGGACAAAAGACAAGCAAGGTCAAAACCGGAAACACTAAGAGAGAGAACGCGCTGAGTGACTAGCAAGCTAGAACCACGACAGGGCAATGAGCAGTAGTAAAGGTTTCCTTTAAATACCCTGTCACCTTAATTGAGACCACGCCCCCAAAAGGTCCGGAATAGCGGTTCCCGGCACTTCACGTAATGCTGACGTCATGACGTCGACGCTAGCCGTCGCGTCATAAAAGGGGGAGGAGCTAGCGCGGCCGGCGCGAAAACGGCCGGAATTTGCCGAAATGCTAGGGGCAAGGAGCCCCTAAACAGAGAGGATGTCTTCCCTGGAGTCAGCACCAACAGGTACCCTGACAGTACCCCCCCTTCTAGAAACACCCACCGGGCGGATGGGACCGGGCTTAGAAGGAAAACGAACGTGGAAGGCCCGAAGAAGGCGAGGAGCATGCACGTCTACACAAGGAACCCAAGACCTCTCTTCTGGACCATAACCTTTCCAGTCTATGAGGTATTGCAACTTCCCCCTAGAAATACGAGAATCAAGGATGGACCTAATGATATATT